GCTCGGGCCGGGGGAGAGCAGCCGCAGCCGCAGCCGCAGGAGGAGGAGGAGGAGGAGAGGCACCGCTCCGCCAGTGCCCGCGCTGCCTGGCTGCAGGGAGCACCGGGGGCCGGGGGCCGGAGAGGAGCTGGAAGCGCAGCGCTGAGCAGGGATGGACATGATGATGCTGGTGCAGGGCGCTTGTTGCTCCAACCAGTGGCTGGCCGCCGTGCTCCTCAGCCTCTGCTGCTTGCTGCCCTCCTGCCTCCCGGGTGGACAGAGCATGGACTTCCCTGGGGCAGCTGTGGACAACCTGGTGGTCAGGAAAGGGGACACGGCTGTGCTTAGGTAGGAGACCCAGCCTCTTCTTTACTTGTCGGGGCAAGCGAGGGCAGAGCCACTTTCTCTTGGGCATCGCGCTCCGCTCCGCGGGCTGCCCCCCGGGCGAGGAGAAAGATGGACGTGCGGTGACAGGCATTGCAGAAAGATGGTGTGAATTGCAAAATAAAAATAAAATCGTCATTAAAATAACTCCCCCTCCCCAAGCCCAAGACCTCAAGTCCAAGCAGCTCTGGAAGAGTAAAGTGTGAGGTCTGGGAGGGGAGGAGGAGGTACCACTTTGAAAGTAGTGCTCAGTCATTCCTGCCAAGTAGCCCTACTTAGGAGGACCCCTTCCTTCCTCCGTTTTCGCAACATCTTTCTCCTTTTCCTCTGTGTCCCTGCCCAGAGCTACCCCAGCCCAGTGCTTCAGTGGATTTCCAAGGCGTGTCCCTATTATTCTCCTCTAATGTCCCTGTTTCTCGATATATCATAGTGGCAGGTCTCAAGGAGTTCCCCTCTGCTTGGTTCCCGTACACTTCCACTCTGTCAAGTTTGGGGGAGGATTTTTTTGTTTGTTTGTTTTTTAAAAATTTTCCCCTGGAACAAGTTTGCTGCTTCTTCCTATCAGGTATATTTTCCTCCCTCCTTCCTAAGCTTCTGAAAGCTGTAATGGCTCATCAGAGACCCAGTAAGCCCCTAAAACCGAAGCAACTGCAGCATGAGCTTCAGCAAATATTTCCTTTTTCTGGAGAAAACAGAAATTGGTGCTCGGGTTCAGACCTGTTTGGTTCTTCATCACTGCCCTCCACAGATGTTTGAAACACATCATTCAGACACTTGCCGTATTAATGTTTGCTGTTAGAGCCTACATGTGTGAGCTGTGTGATATAAAATACATTTTCAGATGTGGATCTTTCAGTATTCCAGTCAGGTGTCTTTGAATAATGACCAGTAATCAATGCATCTATAGTTTAGTTGCGTGGGTGTGGTATATGGGAAAATCTATTATTAGGTGTCCTGATCTGTGATGGAGATAATTTCCTTTAAAAATATTTCAATATTAGCCAAACACAGTTTACAAACTCAGACTGACACTTGCGTATTAAATTTGGAGCCCCTCCTCAATTAATGTATATTTTAAGCCAGCCATGGACGGCAGATACTTTATTATAGAGGAATTCCTAAAAGAGTTGTCTTTCACTAAACCCTCTGCTGCGGAAAATGCTTTATTTTTGAATAACAAGTTTGTTTATGGAAGTTTGGAAATCAGTGGTGCTGGATAAAAATTCGATCTGATGGCTTCTGATTTCTGTTCCAGGATCTGCAATTCAAATGTTCCCTGCCAGTATACTGTTCAGTTGTAATGGGCATTAAAAGATCACACAGAAGTATAGGCATATATGCTGTGGGTTTAGCAATTTTGTTTCTCAATGATTAATGTAAAAAGAAGCATGCTGCAATGACAAGTGCTAACTCTAGCTTTACGCCATTAGAAGATTACATGCTTACCATAGCTCCCTTATTCCTTCCCTTAATGAAGCTTGCATTCCATATGGTAACAATATTTTTTCAGTCCGGCTGGCTGGTGCAAAATTTGTTTACCAGTGGTAGTGCACCATACCTAATCTTCTGAATCCTTCCATTTGACTCAAGTTCACTAATCCTCTGTCTTAATTTGAATTCATGCAGTTTTAACTTTTTATTGATACATTTTGCTTTGCCACGGTCTTGAATCACACTTTTTTTTTCTCAGTTCTTGACATTTGTTAATAGATTGAATATTCTCATTTCTTATAAACCTGGACTTTAATCAGCAGTAGTTTTAATAGGCTATTTATAGACCATTTCTTTCCTTTTAGGTAGGGGCTGGGTGGGGGTTCCAGGTTAAAAAGTAACTTAACAAAATACAGTTTTCATAGATATCACAATTTTCTGTAAACTGCTTAGATATTTCCACTGAAACATTTGGCATCGATTTAAATGAAACCAGTTTACTTTTCATGTAGCATCTGTTGAGAATACAGTCAGTGTCTATGCAGTGCATCTGACAAATATTTTTCCATCCAAAATAATATACTGTAAATATACTCCGTGGTTTTAGAATGCCATATTATTTACTTGCTTTGGTTCTGTTTTCACAGATAGACAGAAAGGAAATACAACAACAGAATTCACCTTTGTTTATGTTATTTCAGCTTTAAATGTTGAATAGAACAAGAGTTTGAGAGTTTTAAATATTAGCTCAGGGAAGAACTCAAACCAATACTGAGCATTACTGGTGGCTCTGAAAAGTAAAACAAAGACATCCCATTTTCAAAATAAAACGTAATATAAATAACTCCATGTTCCTGTAAAGCTTATCTGCTGCTGCCAACAGAGTGTAGTGCTACTGTATATTCAATTTTCTAGGCCTAAAATTGTGAGTTTACAACTCAACGTCTATGCAGCTGGATGGCTTACATAAGTGAAATAAGAGTTTTAAGGTCAAGTAATCATTTTCATCTCATAAGTGAGGGGGAATATCTGTTTTGCAAAGAGACTACCATTAAAGGCGGAATACACATTGCTACTGGAACTGCTAGAACTTTAAAGTCAAAAGCCAAATTCACACTGAAATAATATATGTGGTATACCTATTCCTTCTGTCTCAATGTAAAACGTGCACTTTTTTTCTTTAATAATATAGTTGGCTTATTAATTAAACAGATTTTTGGCCCTTTTACATTTTCAGCACATTTTCTTTCAGATTAAAGTTGACTTTATTTCTAGGTAATGAGGTAACCGGAAAGGAGAAAATATGGTATTGCTAAAGGACAGCATTTTAGAAAGGGTGCAGAGGAGACCAGTAGGGCTCTTTAACGAGAATATGTTCCATGATACAAACCTCCACTGCTTTTTTAAGTGTTCCTCGATGGTTATTCCTAACTTAAACACACACAGAGATTATTAGTTTAAATCAATAAGACCATGTAAGGAGATTCTTTTATTAGCATCTGAGCATTAGAAGCTGATTATTGCTGTTAAAAACCTATTCCAGTGAGCTCTACAAAGCATTTAGTTGTGCAAAGAGAGGAAAGATTTTACTTCCTGAAGCTCTCCTAGACCAGTCTATTGAATTTGGATCTGCTAGACTAATGTACATTGCGGCATTCAGAGGTAGCTGTGTGAGCTGGTACTACTTCTCTTTCAGCTGTAGTGGGGCTGTTACTAACTCTATTAGATGCATGGGGGACAAGGGCGGGGAGAGAGGGAGAATGAAGAGGGTTTGTATGTTTTGACCTCCCACTCTAAATCTGGTTGCCCTGGTTGTATTATCTATACACTTTGAATGTTAAAATCAGAAAACTTCTATTTAATGTGCTACCAACATGACTGCTGATGTCAAGCATAAAAGTCTTTTAAAGGCGTTAGAACTAGAAATCATTTCTTCAGCTTTTTGAGTCAGCATTTCAAAGATGATGAAAGGAAGATTTATGCTATTTCTCTTGATTTACAGGTGTCTTTATTGGAAGTCCTGCTCATTTTAAGTATGCCTGTTCTTAAAACACACACTCTTTCTCAAGCTATCTTTGAAAATTAAAAAGAGTTGGATGTTATACTGAAGTAAGCACACAGCATATTTTAGTGGTTAAGGTACCCTGCTGGGTGACCTGTGGTGATAGCAGAGCTAGAAATGCATTTTGGGGCCAGTTTCCCCTGCAGAAAAATACAGAATAAGTTGTTAACAGCATGGATGTATATAGAAATTGCCACATAAATGCCAAGTTTTGCCATTACATGAAATAAGTATTTTGTACTTTCATTTTAGAAGCAAGAAGTTATGCCCAAGCAATTTTGCAACAAACACGGGTTTTTTAAATATTTTTGTAGTGATACTGCAATGCCATGAAACAGAACACTAGGACATTGACTAGTGGGCCTTGCTGCATTGACAGGATGGTAGGTATATGTTCCCCTGCAGGCTCCATCCATTTCTAGCCAAAATTAGTTTAAACTTGTAGAGGGAATTGCTTGTACGATGTCTGGCACAGTATCGTTAGGGCTATTCCTTATCAGAGCCATTGGCTTCTCCCATAATATACAAATTAAATAACTATAATTCTTACTCCCTATTGTCATCTTTAACAAGACAAATGTCACGATGGGACTCAATGTATTTCTCATATGCAGATACATTTATCTAATGAACTGTGCTTTGCCAGGCAGGCAAAGAATTTGCATTGAGCCTTTTGGTTGTAGGGTAATAATATACCTTTTTGATTCCAAAGTCCTACACTTCCTTCCGCCTAAAAAATCCTTTATCTTTAATGGGTATTATGTAAGACACGAGAAATTTAGTTTGAAGTATTCCAAAAAGTGGCTCCCCTTAACTCTCATTACATACCCTACACCACAGAAACAGAGCCTTATTGGATCAGTGTTTAGCTAAGCTTTATTTAAAAAGAACATATAAAAAATTATTAGCATTTTTTTAGAGATTGTATTGCTACTTAAATGATTTTATATGTCATGTGTAGAAGAAGCCAGTAAATTCTGAAGGGGCAAAACATATTCAGCATTGTGCTGATGAAGTCGGTCCAGTTCATAAAAGTACTAGAGGGGAGAAATTCCCTGCAACTGTCTGCATTCAATGGAAAAAGAAAATATTATCAAGAAAATTTAAATAGCTAGAAATACAGCCAACATGCACAATAATAGAATAAAGGGGACAAGAAAGGTTTAAATTATATTTGCAATACCTTGACAACAGAAGCTGCAATTATATAACATTAGCATCTTAGGGGTGGAGACACATGAACATTAGCATCTTAGGGGAGGAGACACCATTCAGTTAAGCAAAATATCAAGAGGATGGTTTGTTTCTTTCTTGCTTCCATGTATGGATTAGCTTTTGCTTAGGAGTTTGTTGCTGTTAAAACCTCCCTCCACCAAGCTTTCTACTGTTCTAGCACCTTTTTGCTGATTTGATTCTTGGGTAGACTGCTCGAAGGTGTGTGCTGAGTGTGGTAGCCAAAGCCTGTTCTACT